TGATTTAATAGATTGCAATTTGGTACACTTATTTTAAAATTTCTTTCCTTTACTCATGATAGAGTGTATATACATGTGAGTGTGTGTGTGTGAGAGAGTGCACATGCACACATCCACAGGGTCTGGACATGCCCTGATCCTCTTTCTCAAGTCCTCCGAGTTGTTGGAACCTGGGCACTTGCATACTTGGCGTATTTCATACCAGTTGGACCAGGGATTTGAACTGTGGTCACCATGTGGGATAACCCCTCTTCAGCAGCACTTCACCTCAGCACCACATGGCTGACCCCCACTCTCATTTTATTTTGATGCTTAGACTTTCTCACAGTTGACCCCTGGAACTCCTTTCATAATTGATGGCTTTGTTTTTCTGACATGTTCCTATCGTTTGCTGAGAATTTTCTTGTGTTTTGGTACAAGAAGATTTTCCAGGCTTAATCTGCACTTTCCTCCCTCAGCCATTTCTCCCAGGAGCCCTTTAAGGGACTCTGCTTAGTGGAGGATGGTATGTAATAGCTAAGATCTGGGCACACGGCATTTTTACTGCTGCTGGGATTTCATTGCTCCTGAGACTAAAAGAATTAGAAAATGTATGTGTGTGTATATGTACATATACAAACATCTAAACACCTCATTAAAAAGATAAGTTCATTTACTAATACTTCCAATTCCAGTCCAATAGCTCAGAATTCTTTTAGTTTCCCCCTTTCCATGTTTCCAAATCCTGTCTTGGGGCCAGCAGATGGCATAGTGGTTACCTTGCTGGAGTCCTACATGGCCTACGGTGGTTCAAGTCTGGAACCTAGTGGCTCGAAATTAATGCTGGGCACGCGTGCCCACGCATGTGTATCTATGTGTGTGTGTGTGTGTGCCCAAGATCCCAGGAGGAGAATGGAGGAGGAAGGATTGTGGGGTGGCTATCCCCCTTGGGGGGTGATTTCTTGCTTTCTCTCTCACTCTTTCTCTTTTCTTCTTGGAGAACACACGTGCCCTAAGGCAAAAACCTCTTTAAAAAAAATCCTGTCTTGGGCCCAGCAGTTGGTGTAATGACTATGTCGCTGGACTCCCATGTAGTTGACTGTGGTTCAAGTCCTGGACCCAGTGGCTTAAACTCACACTGGGTGCGTGTGCGTGTGTGCCCAAGATCCTGAGAGGAGAATGGAAGAGAAGGGATTGCGGCATGGCCATCCTCCCTGAGGGGTGATTTCTTGCTTTCTGTCTCTCTGTCTCTCTGGTGAGTGCACCTGCCCTATAGCAAAAACCGCCCCCCCCAAAAAAAAATTTCTGTTTCAGACAGTGAGAAATCTGACTCCAGTTATTTTAGATATGTTATTTTAGATATATTAATCTTTTGCTCAATCAGTAAGCTTTTTTAAAAATTGCTTTTTAGATATAATAGTCTTTTACTCTTTTATAGTCATATTGCAGTTTCTTAATAAATTCCAAATTCAGTTAACTTTTTTTTAGGATTTTGCTATAGGGTATGTGCACTCACTGGAGAGAGACAGAGAGAGAGAGAAAATGAGAGATCATTAGGGATTTGGGCATGCTACATTCCCTTCTCCTCTCAGGATTTTTGGGCATGTGAGCACATGTGCCCAGCATAATTTTCAGGCTGTCAGGTCTGGGACTTGAACTGTGGTTGACCATGTGGAGTCCAGTGCCTTCACCCCCACTCCAACTGCTGGCCCTGAGTAACATTAAAAAAATAGATTATTTATTTAATTTTATTCATTATCATCATCATTTTTTATTTTGGCCAGAGAGAGATGGAAAGAGAAAGGGAAAGTGAGAAAGTAAGCTAGGTCCAGGACTCGAACTGTGGTAAACCATTTGGGAGTCCAACACCTCAACCACCATGCCACCTACTGGCCCCCTCCCCATTAACTTTTTTTTTTAAAGAAAGAATTATTTTATTTAACTTTATTTATTATTATTATTTTTCAGTTTGATCAGCCAGAGAGAGAGAGAGAGAAAGTGAGAAAGCAAGCCACCAGGTTTAGGACTTGAACCATGGTTGGCCATGTGGGAATCCAGTGCCTTAGTCTCACACCATCAGCTGGCCCTGAGAGTTTCTATTAGAAATAAGAGTTAAATTATATCAAAGACTTTTAGAATCTGTGGAAAAATACAATTTTATTAAAGTGAGAAATCACCCCCTGGAGAAGGGGTTGCCATGCCACCGTTTCTTCTCCTGCCTTGTCCTCTTGGAATTTTGGGCATGCACACACATGTTCCTGGCATGAGTTTTAAGCTGCTGGGTCCAGGACTTGAACTGAAGTTGACTACGGGGAGTCCAGCGATGTAACTGTTATGCCATCTGCTGGTTTCCCTCTTACCAATTAACTTTTTTAAAAACTTAATTTTCTTCAGAGAGAGAGAGAAATAGGCATTCCCACCAGGGCCTTCATACCCTGATCCACCCCAAGCCTCAGCCTGTTTGAACATGGGCATGCATATGTGCCTGGTGTGTAGAGGGAGGCTCTGGGAAGTGAACCTGGGAACCTCCCCCCCCATGTGAGTACAGTTGAATCACTGCTGTACCACCATCTGGCCTTCAACCTATTCAGTGTAATCATTCTCCTAACCGCTCAGGCTTCCTCTTCCCTTTGCCACTCTGGTTCCCCTCCCACTGCGTCTCCACCGTGCCCCACTTCCTTGACTGTCAGGCACAGTGCTGCAGGTAACTGTGTGCCCTCCACCGTGCCCCACTTCCTCGGCTGTCAGGCACAGTGCTGCAGGTAACTGTGTGCAGAACCCTGTCACCTTCACTGTTCTGCTTCCTCAGAGGCTGACGTCTCCCTGTTGGGAGGAATAGAGAGGAAGGAAGGATGGGAAAGGAAGAAGAATGGGAGGAAAGATAGGAATCTAAGTTACAGTGATGTATCTTGAAGACACAGCTGACAGGAGTTACTGGTAATTGAATACAGAGAGTGAGGAAGAGAAGCCAATGATGATTCCAAGGTTTTTGGCCTCAGAAACGGAAAGAATTGAATTGTCATTTAGCGTGTGTGTGGGGGGGACAAAGTAGGAAGGGGCTTGGTGGGAGAATCAGGAGCTCAGTGTTGGATGTTTAGAAGTCTGAGATGTCTTCTAAACACCCAAGAGGAGGTGTTGGTACTTAGTGTGTATCTGCATCTTGAAGTATGGGCTGGAGATGTGGGTCTGGAAATCCTTTCCCATAGATGCTATTTAAAGCCACGAACTCAGCTGAGATTGCAAAGGGAGTTGGATAGATAGAAAAGCTCATGCTGAGCCCAGGGATAATTTCAGGAAGAGAGATGATAGCACCATCTCAGCAAGATAGGATCAGCCTCTGAGGCGAGTGTGGTATTTTGGAAGCCACGTGAGGAACATAACTTCAATTAACATGAAAGCATCATATTAAATGCTGTTGATAGGTCAAGAAAGATAAGGACTGTGAATTTACCATCCCATTTGGCAGGATGGAGTTCATTGGTGACTTTAATTATGTGTATGTGAGTGGAGGGAAGGTTTGATTGGAGCAGGTTCAGGAAAGAATGAGAGGAGGGAAATGAGAGACAGCAGATACAGAGAACTCTTTCAAGAAGTTTCAATCCACATATAAGGTACATAGCCACAGTCAACTGGTCAACCATTGACATGTTTTTTGGGTCTATAGCAGAGTTTAAGGTAGCCTTTTCTGAGAGTTGTGTGAGTTCCTTATTGTTTCATATGACACTTTTTTCCCCTATGCACTGATTTGTTTTGGGTTAGGGAAAGGTTTAGTTGGTAGTGTAGTTTTTGAGCATGTGCAGTGAGGAGCTCCCCAGAGCAGTGTCAGTGGCATTGTAATAGGGAGAGAGTACAAGGGAGCACCTAGCCGTGACAGGCCCTTTGAAATGCTTGTTGTTCTGGATGTGTCAGAGAAAATTGAAACTTTATAGATTGTACTATCATCAGCCTTCTTGGGCCTTGTCACCACCTTGATTTTTCTCTGCAAAAAATCTTTCGAGAAGAGTGTTTTGTGTGTCCATATGTTCTTTGTGTATAATGAAGCCTTGCTAGGAAACTGGAATATAGTTAGATTTGCTAAAATGAATTTAATGGTTTACGTGAGTCCTTTATCGTCTAAGTAGAAAATTGTTTACACCTTTAACTTAAGGCACAGGGGCAGGCAGGTGGCATGGTAGCTAAAGTGCTGGACTCCCATGTGACTGACCCTGGTTTGAGTCCCAAACTTGGGGGCTTGCCTCTCACTCTCCCTTTCTCTCTTTCTCTCTTTCTCTCTGTCTCTTTTTGATCAAATTAAAAAAAATAATTAATAAAATAAGTAATTCTTTTTTGAGAAAGAGATTTCTGTTACAGGATGTGTGTACTTGCTGGAGAGGCAGAGAGAAACAGAGAGAGAGACAGAGAGACCGAAAGTGAGAAATCACTCCCCAGGGTATATGGTCATGCTGCAATCCCTTCTTCTCCATTCGCCTTTAGGGATTTTGGGCACGCATGCACCTGTGCCTGGTGTGTGTCAAGCTGCAGGGTCCAGGACTTGAACTGCAGTCTACTATGTGGGAGTCTAGTGTCTTAACCGTTATGCCACCTGCTGGCCCTGAAATAAATAATTAGAAAAAAAACTCCAAAAGGCATAGACAGTAAATACACAGTATGCGGGTACTCTGAAGTGCTCTGCCGTTGTCATTGCTGATCATCCACATTACTTTCTTGTATTGAACCTAGATACAGAAAGAATTCTTGGTAGTAATGTTCCAGAAAGTCACTACTAATTAGTCCTACATGACATATGACATAAAATCTTTTTCTAAATCCCTAGTATAAGGATTGAGTTCATAAGTATTATGTGGAAAACAGAACTAAGTTAGAAATCAGGTTTAATTTGTTTGTCATTCTCATCACTAGAGTTTATCAATAATGGTGATGGCTAGTGAGAAACCTCAAGAGAGCTGGCATAGGGATATAGTACTTGTTCTTTTGAGATCACTGAATTGACAGCTCACCTCTGTTCTTTTCATTTTCCAAAGATTCGACCTTGTTTGCTGAACTCGGTTATTTCACAGACACTGATGAGCCGCTGTTGGATACAGCAAATGAGACTTATGTAAGTATTTACTCAAGGAGAAATAATGGGTAATTTGATGTTTAATCTTTAAAAAAAATATTTATTTAATTTTATTTATTATTATTATTATTGCTTTTCAGTTTGATCAGAAAGAGTCAGAGAGAGAGAGGGAGAGTGAGAAAGTAAGCCATCAGGTCTGGGACTTGAACTGTGGTTGGCCATGTGGGAATCCAGCACCGTAGCCACCAGCCAGCCCCGTGATGTTTAATCTTTACCCTAGTTATTATAAGAAAGTTTCAGGACAACAGGCTTAGACTAGTAATTTAAGTTTAAATAACTTTAATTGTTGAGCTTATAAGTTAATTGACATGTCATAGTCAGTAAATGTAGGACCATAGACATTGCATTGATCTTGGCATGAGGAAATTTGTATTCTAAGCCTATGTTGGGCCCCAGGAGTGGCTAACCTTGAATATAGTCACTTAACTACCTACTCCTTGGGTTTTACAGATACTTTGCCACATAAGGAAATGGTGTGATGTTCAGGAAGTGTGTGTGAGTCATGGGCCCAAGCCAAAAACCAACTTCCTTTTTTTCCCCCCCAATAGGGCATGCATGTTTGCTGGAGATAGGCAGAGAGAGGGAAAGTGAGAAATACACCTTAGGGGAGATGACTGCACTGCAGACCCTTTTCAAACTTCATTATCCTCTTGGGATTTGGGCATGCGTGCTTAGCACACAGTGTGATTTTCTAGCCACTGGTTCTGGGACTTGAGCCATGATCCCCCATGTAGGAATCTGCACCCCAGCCACCATGCCACCTGCTGGCTCCACCAATTTCCTTTTTAAAAATTATGCATAAGTGTTGGAAGCTCTGGAAATTAGGCATATCCTTACTTTTTGACCTTGATTATATAGAAGTTATTATAACACTGTGTATCTTCAAACATATCTTAGACTAATTTTTTTTCTTTTCATGGTTAGTACAGATAAAGCTGTTTGGCCTATAGAACTCTTATCTTATTCTTTAATGCATGAGATACTGTTTCTCAGAAAATAATTCAATTGAGTAAAGTATTAATCAGTAATTTTTCAATCAGGTTGAAGATAATTTTTTTAAGCTCTTATTAACATGAGTATAAATACATAATCTTAGGGAGTTTCAGACAGTTCTCAGAGAATGACTTAACTGTTTCTTACTATGAATCAGTAGAAGAGTATGAAGCACATGATATGTTTTTAAATTGATGTGTGGGATTTTAATGGTTTTGTTTACTCTTTTTTAGAATATGGCCTAATGATGAAATTGGCCGGTTGAATAGCAACTGCTATTCTTTCATTACCTCCAAAAAGAAACAGTGTATTAAATTTGAAATATTCAGGGAAGTGTGGTCCTGATTTTATTGCTAACATTATATTATGCAAATCCCTCAATCTTTTTTCTTTTTTTAAAGAAATTTTTGCCTTAGGGCTTGTGTGCTCACTGGACAGATAGAGACAGAGACAGTGAAAGGGAAAGTGAGAAATCACCCCCCATGGGAGATGGCCATGACACAATCCCTTCTCCATTTTCCTTCTGCGATTTTGGGCATGCATGCATATTCATCCAGCATGATTTTCAAGCCACTGGATCCAGGACTTAAACCGTGGTTGGCTATGTGGGAAGCCAACGATGCAGCCGCTCTGCTATCTGCTGGCCTCATCCATCTCTTAATTCCTTAGTTTTTCTAGTATAACATGATGATCTTCCATGTGATGATAGAATGTCCCGTGATAAACCAATCAAGGGCCAGAGTGTGTAAGTGCCAAAATGTTTCCCTCTACATAAAATGGGCCTGTTAACCTTCTAACCAAATAGAACACTCATACTCTATAAAATACTTGACATATTTTGGCTGAGGATTGAATCATCCTCTACATAAAATGGGCCTGTTAACCTTCTGACCAGATAGAACACTTATACTCTATAAACTACTTGACATATTTTGGCTGAGGATTGAATCAGAAGCATCCCCAAAGCAGATTATGCCCCTGTTGTATATGTTTAAAAGTACTGCAAGTACTCAAGCAGGCAGCATTGCTAAATTTATTTAGCCTAAGAAAGTTTTTTTTTTTTTAAAGAGAGATTTTTTGCTATAGGGTGTGTTTGCTTGCTGGAAAGACAGAGACAGACAGAAAGCAAGAAATCATCCCCCAGGGGGGATGGCCACACTGCAATCCCTTCTCTTCCATTCTCTTCTTGGGATCCTGGGCGTGCACACACACCTGCCTGGTGTGGGTTTAAGCCACTGGATTCAGGACTTGAACCACGATCGACTACATGGGAGTCCAGCGATGCAACCATTATGCCATCTGTTGGTCCTAAGGAAGTTAAGTTAAAAAAAATATTTTTTAGTTTTTGTTTTGCTATAGGTGCGTGCACTCACCAAAGACAGAGAGAGAGAAATCACTCCTCAGGGGGATGGCCACAACACATTCCTTTCCCCTTCAGTCTCCTTTTGGAGTTTTGGGCACTCACACTCATGCATCCTGTATGATTTTCAAGTTGCATGGTCTGAGACTTGAACCATGAAGTTAGCCGTGTGGAATCCAGTCACCTTAACTCCCGTGCCACCTGCTGGTCCAGCCTAAGAAAGTTTAAAGATTATTTTGGTTGCTATAAATACAAGGCTACTTAATTTTCTGTATGTAGGTTGAAATAAAAAAGTAAAGAAAATCGATTCAAGAAAATGGTCCTTTCATGATTTTTTTAAAAAGATATTTCCCATAGAGTACTTGTGTTTGCTGGAGAGAGAGACAGTGAGAAAAAAAGTGATAAATCACCCCCTATGGGAGATGGCTACATTGCAACCCCTTCTTCTTCATTTTCCTCCTGGGATTTTGGGCACACATGCACCCAACATGTTTTAAGCCACCAGGTCCAGGACTTGAACTGCAGATGGCTTGTTGGAGTCCGTTCTTAACCACTACACCTCCTGGTGGCCCCATGATTTAATTATCTTTTTTCATATGGACTTCCACGTATTGATATACTTTGTCTAAATATTTACTCAGTTATAGGTAGTATAAGAAGAAAAGTTTCCCTTCTCTCATGTTACATTTTCAATAAAAATAAACCATGTAATAGATATTTCATTCTAGTACTGTTCTAGAAATTATTAACAAATGGTGGTTAACAATTACCAAATAAATTCTTACTTTTTGCCTAAGGCTTACTTTCTCTAGTGTTGCTGTTTTATGATTTGTCATATTAAGTAAATTGTGAATGTCTTTTGACTTTTTTGTTTTTTCTATATTAAGCTTACTTCTTGTCTCTGTAGCTCCAGATTCTTTAAAAATATAATTCTTACATGGCTCCAGCAAACTAAGAAAGGAATGGAAGACAATTGTAGACACCAGACATAGTGTGAGAAGAGGGTAGGAAAGGACAGAGGGTCAGAAAGAGGGGTAAAAATGGGCACACATGCACCCAACATGTTTTAAGCCACCAGGTCCAGGACTTGAACTGCAGATGGCTTGTTGGAGTCCGTTCTTAACCACTACACCTCCTGGTGGCCCCATGATTTAATTATCTTTTTTCATATGGACTTCCACGTATTGATATACTTTGTCTAAATATTTACTCAGTTATAGGTAGTATAAGAAGAAAAGTTTCCCTTCTCTCATGTTACATTTTCAATAAAAATAAACCATGTAATAGATATTTCATTCTAGTACTGTTCTAGAAATTATTAACAAATGGTGGTTAACAATTACCAAATAAATTCTTACTTTTTGCCTAAGGCTTACTTTCTCTAGTGTTGCTGTTTTATGATTTGTCATATTAAGTAAATTGTGAATGTCTTTTGACTTTTTTGTTTTTTCTATATTAAGCTTACTTCTTGTCTCTGTAGCTCCAGATTCTTTAAAAATATAATTCTTACATGGCTCCAGCAAACTAAGAAAGGAATGGAAGACAATTGTAGACACCAGACATAGTGTGAGAAGAGGGTAGGAAAGGACAGAGGGTCAGAAAGAGGGGTAAAAATAATTCTAGGAACTAGAAATGGAAAATTTTTTATAATATAAATGATTAAGTCACTATGCAGTATATACTGGATGGGAAATCACACTTTTTGTTGTTGTTGTTGTTGGAGAGGTTTTCGCTACAGGATGTGTGCGCTCGCCAGACAGACAGAGAGAGACATAGAGACAGAAAGCGAGAAATCACCCCCCAGGGGGGATGGTCACGCCGCAATCCCTTTACCTCCATTCTCCTCTCGGAATCTTGGGCATGCACACACACGCGCATGGCGTGAGTTTTAAACCACCGGGTCCAGGACGTGAACCGCGGTCGACTATGTGGGAGTCCAGCGACATAGCCATTATGCTAACTGCTGGTTCCCAAGAGCAGATGTTTTTGAAAGTCTTTGTGTTGAGATTTAGTAGCAAGTTAAAATTTGCCTTTGAATACTTCTTTAAGGAGTTGTTTATTTAACTTTATTTATTATTATTATTATTACTTTTAAATTTGACCAGAGAAAGGCAGTGTGAGAAAGCAAACACCATTTTCAAGACCTGAACTGCAGCCAGTCATAACAACTGTTCAAACAGCATAAAAACTGTAGAATTTCAGTGCATGTGTGATTGGTAAAGGTGCTTTTGTCAACTTATTAGAAGGATTGGAGGAGATATACAATCAGAATAGATTTAAAAATTATGTCATCTTAAGACTTAAAATAATTAGAGATTCATTACTAAATATACATCATTAGCTCCTGTGAACTAATCATTTCAGGTGCAAAGAGAAACCTGGCGGCTTGCTTTCTCTCTCACTCTCTCGCTCTGTCCCTCTCTGGTCAAATTAAAGTAAAAAGATAAAGTTAAATTAAATAATTCTTTAAAAAAAAAAAGAATTCTTTGGTACTGTTAGACTTTCATGAGGGCTCATGAAATCATGTGGCAGTTCTTTATGAATATATTATAAGGTGGTCATCTAGATGATCCAGAATATGCTTATATTTAAGTAAAAATATGGGTATCTAAATGAAAAGAAACCAAGGTGGCCCCTCAAAGAGGTTTGTTGTCCTCTGTGTGAGAAACTTAATTTTACTGTTGTGATCACGAAGTGTTGATGTTTGGTAGGTGAGGTCCATTTACTTTCCAGGATTATAAAATATTTTATTTATTTGCTTCTAAAAAATATTTAATTAATTTTATTTGTCATTATTATTATTATTTTTTTAATTTTTATTTTGACTAGAGAGAGAGAGACAGAGGGAGAGGAAAAAAAGGGAAATGAGAAAGCAAGCCACTGGGTCTGGGACTTGAACCACAGTTGGCCATGTGGGAGTCCAGTGCCTTAACTACCACACCACCTGCCTACCGCTATTTACTTATTTTTTTAGTTCATAAAAACTTTATAAAGTTGAATAATACAAGATAGAAAAAAGAAAATATCTGTAATGGTGATTAACCTTTTTATAACTCCTACATCCTATGTATGTTTTGGATGTGTTTATAGTCTTTTCATTAATACAGAAATAATGTTTTATGAATAGCTATTTGTTTTGACTTATTTTCCTTAATGGCAGCTGGAAAACTTATTTCGTGGCTCTCCATTGTGATAAACACATTTTATGACTTTTGTAATGGTTCACATAGAAAGAATGAAGCCAATGGAATCTTTTAGATATTGTGTAGGGAGCAGCCTGAATCTAAGCAAACAGATGACCTTTAGACACATGCAGAAATGGGGTTCCATGGATAGTTCTTTTGCAAAGCTGTGAACACCATTAACATGTGAATGCACTAGCTGCCCTTGTCTGAAACTGCAAGGCAGTATCAGGTTAAAGGAGACCACATATGTTAATTGGAAATGGCCCTGAGGAGATTTGAAAAAACATACATAGAACTACATGGTGCCTGGTGTCTTCACATCTTCAGTCAGTTAACATCTGAAAACAACTAGCTTTACATTTCACTTCCTCTTCCCTCATTTTCTGGCCTTTAAAAGAATAAACTTGGGTATATTCTCATCTGCAGCTGTCTTCATCAGAGAAGTCCAGATCACCCAATCCCTGCCTTTTTTTTTTTTTGGAGGATTTTTTTGCTATAGGGTGTGTGTGCTCGCCAGACAGAGAGAGACAGAGAGACAGAAAGCGAGAAATCACCCCCCGGGGGGATGGCCATGCCACCATCCCTTCTCCTCCATTCTCCTCTCGGGATCTTGGGCACGCACGCACATGCGCCCGGCGTGAGTTTTAAGCCGCCGGGTCCAGGACTCGAACTGCGGTCGACTACGTGGGAGTTCAGCGACATAGCCATTACACTAACTGCTGGTCCCTCCCTGCTTTTCTTTACTTGGGTGTCTTTATGTATTTATTTTTATGTTTATTCTCTAATTCATAGCCACCCCTACCCTCCCACCCCCAAACACACAAACACACTCAGATTTGAGTCCTGGACCTGATGGCTTGAAAACTATACCAGGCATGTGTGTGTTGAAAATCCCAGGAGTATAGAGGAGAATGGATTGTAGCATGGCCATACCCCCTGGTAGATGATTTCTTACTTTATCTCTCACTGTCTCTCTCTCTCCAGTGAGCATACATGCCCTATGGTAAAAAACCTTAAAAACATAGAAGTAGCTGAATTGGCTTATCTTCAGACAATCTATTGGTTCTCTCAAGGTGAACCAATTGAGTTAGAAAATGCTTTTTCTAGGATAGATGATAAATAATTATATTAATTTAAAGGAAAATTGTTTCTGGTTGTGTGATTATAAGATTTATATATTTTATTCTTATTAATATTATTTTACTGATTTGAAACCTACAGGAAAACAATTTTGATCATCTTGATTTTGATTTGGACTTGATGCCTTGGGAGTCAGACATTTGGGATATCAACAACCAATTCTGTACAGGTAATGATGTGTTTCAGTAGTAAAAACTTTAAACAGGTCTGTTTTATCTCGTAATTTGATAACAAGGGCAGTCCCTGATATACAGTGGTTTACCTTATGATTGATTGACCCTCAGTGTTGTGAAAGTGATACGTATTCAGTAGAAAGTGTGCTTTATACAGACATTCTGTTTTTCATTCTCAGTACAGTATTCAATAAATTACATGAGATATTCAACACTTCATTGTAAAATAAGCTTTGTGTTAGGGGGCCGGCAAGTGGTGTGGTGGTTAAAGGCGCTGGACTCCCACACGGCTGACTGCGGTTCAAGTCCCAGATCTGGTGGCTTGCTTTCTCATTTTCTCTCTTTCTCTTTTGCTTTCTCCCTCTCTGGTCAAAATAAAATGAAAACAGTATATATATATATATATATAAAGTTAGATAAAATAATTCTTTAAAAAAATAAGCTTTTCATTAGATGATTTTGCCAACTGTAAGTTAATCGAAGTATGCTAAGTATGTTTAAGGTAGACTAGGCTATTAAGTGATGATGTTTGGTAGGTTAGGTGTATTAAATACACTTTTAACTTATTTCAGCGTACAAAAGACTTATCAGGATGAAACTCCATCATTAGCTGAGCATCTGTACCAAAAATTAGGTGGGATTATTGGGCTATTTTGGTGGGTTAAAAGATTCCAGGAATATTTTTAAAGAGGTTGTTGCCTTAGGGTGCATGTGCTTTACTAGACAGAGACAGAAACAGCGAAAGGAAAACGAGAAATAATTTCCTGGGGTGGGGGGGCTATGCTGCAATCCCTTCTCCTCCATTCTCCTCCCAGGATCCTGGACACACACACACACATGCGCTCAGCATGTGTTTGAAGCCACTGGGTCTGGGACTCGAACCACAGTTGGCAGGAGGCCAGTGATGCTATGCCACCTGCTGGCCCCATATATCCTACTTAAAAGAGATTTTTGGTATAGGGTGTATGTGCTGACCAGAGAGACAGAGACAAAAAGCAAGAAATCACCCCTATGGGGAATGGCCATGCTGCAACCTCTTCTCCTCCATACTCATCTCCGGACCTTGGACATGCACGCACACGCACCTGGTGTGAGTTTTAAGCTGCCATGTCTGGGACTCAAACTGTGGTTTACTATGTGAGAATCCATTATACCATCTGCTGGAGCCTAAAAAAATGTTTTTTTTTTCTTTTTTTAATTAAAACAATTTTTGCTATAGGTGCATGTGCTTGCCAGAGAGAGACAGAGAGACACAGAGAGAAGGAGAGAAGAAAGCACCTCTCATGAGGAATAGTCATGTCACAGTTCCTTCTCTTCCTTCTTTCCCTTTGATTTTGGGCACACATGCACATGCCCAGTGTGTTTTGCAAGCCATCAGGTCTAGAAGTTGAACAGCACAGTTGACCACGTGGGATCCAGCTGCCTTAATGCCAGGCCATGAAGCCAGCCCTATGTATCCTACTTCTGATATAGCAATGCATAAATTAATTTCTCACCCAGATGGATATAAACAATTTCATAATTATGTTTCAGTAATGTAATGAATGGATAAATAATTCAGGGGCCAGCAGGTGGCATGGTGGTTGAGGTGGTAGACTCTCATGTGGCTGACCACAGTTTGAGTCCAGGCCTGACAGCTTGCTTTCTCACTTTCCTTCTCTCTCTTTCTGGTGTGCCCTATAGCCAAGTGAAAAATAATAATGATAAATAAAATTAAATAATTCTTTTAAAAAAGCAGTTCATAAATATGGTAATGAATTATGAATCATATCTTGGTAATAGATTAGTCTATTTGGGAACCATACAGGGCTTAGGGAGTCAATGCAAAGAAGCTAGAGTCACCAGAGTCTAGGAGCTTAGTGGAAGGGCCCATGCATTTGATGCACACATACTTTTGAGGAGGGGACACCGCCTGCCTGGTTGGTGCTGGTATCTTTTGGGGGCCTGATGAGGTGGGAGTTGGTGTGCTGAAAGAAGCTAGAGCCTGGAGCGGACGGCCTCTACTGGGTAGATCTGACTGGAGAATGAAGAAATGCCTGCTCCTACCTTCTGGGGCCCTTCTAGTGTCCCCGATTATTAGGACATGAAAGGAGGCCAGCTGGGAAATGTATTGGGTCATTGGAAAGTCGTGATGCATTCTTACATAGAAAATACAGAAAAATATGCCACGACCTTCCCAATGACCTAATATTAATTATGTGCATCAGACTCTAGGAGGTGAACTGGAGCTGAGAGACAGTAGATAAATAACTTGCACATTTCTCCACATTCCTCCCTACCGCTGCATGTCCTACTTTCTGTCATTCTTTTTTAAGGTCTTTGCCACTGGGCATGTACTCTGCTGAAAACAGAGAGAGGTAAAGTGAGAAGTCACCCCCCCGGGGGGGATGGCTATGCTGCAGTTCATTCTCCTCTCAGGATTTTGGGCATGTGTGTATATGTGTCCAGTGTGGCTTTCAAGCCTCCCAGTCCAGGACTTGAACCACAGTCAGCCACATGGGAGTCCACGGCTTTAACCACCATGCCACCTGCTGGCCCCACTTCCCTTCATTTTATGTAATTATGTGTTTTGCTCAGTGCCACTCTTTCTTTGTAGATATGGGATACATAGTGTCGGTGTTCTGGTTACCACTGTGTAATAAATGAGTCTAAATCTTAGTAGCTTAAAACAACCATTTATTAGGTTCCCAGAATCTCTGGATCAGGGGTTTGAGTAGGTACTCCAGGGATGTTTTGTCTCTGCTCTGTGATGTCCAGACCTCAACTAGGGAGATTCAAAGGCCGGAGAAGCTTGACACTGGGGGGCTAGAACCATGTTGAGGTGTCTTCACTACTCTGGTGCCGGGTTGGGATGACTTGAAGACTGGGACTACCGTCCGGAGTGTCTGTACAGGGCCACTCAGCGTGACTTGGTTTCCTCACATCATGGTGGACACAGGGCAGTCAGGCTTCCAGTGTGAGTGTCCCAGCCCACAAGGCAGAGGCTGTGTCCAGCCATAGAATTCAAAGCACGACTTCCATACGGTATTCGCTCAAGGATTCCTAAGCCCACCTGAGTTCAGGGGCAGAGGAAGTAGACCCTGCTTCTTGTTGGGGCAGTGGAGAGGTCACCTTGTAGGGGATCACAAGGGATGGTAGCTATTTCGTGACTGACTTTGGAAAACAAAGTCTGCCACGACCACCCTGTCGTATCTTTGACACTTAGAATGCTGCCTGGGCTATAGTTGCTCAGTAGATTTTAAAAAAAGTGTATGTTTTTCTTTCATGAGTGAGAGAGACAGAGAGATCTACCCCCAGGCTTCAGCTAGCCTTGTATTGTGGGCAGGTGTGTGTCTGGCATACTCAGGGAGGTCTCTGGACTTGAACGGGGACATTTCTCACATGGGATTGCCGCTCAGTGCGCTGTTTGACAGCTGTATTAGTCTCCGGCCTCTCAGTAAATTTCTGTTGAGTCAATCCAAACCGTATGAACATTTTCATGAGTTTTAACTGTATTGTCAAAATGCTTTATGTAATAATTTTTTCCTCTTACATTTAACATTTTTTTGGAATATATAATTTTTTTGTGTATGGTATAATAATCAAAGGCCCCAAATTCTATACAATAGAAGAATGTCTTCTGCTCTTATTCTTAGACAAGTTCTGCTCCCTAGAGACCACTGATGTACATTTTCCATTTACTTTTCCAGAGAATTACGTGTGTGTTTGTACACATACATACCTTGTTACACAAAAGCCTAGGTCTTTCGTGCAGCTTGTGTTATCCCCTAAAGGTACATTTTAGTGACCTTTGCTTCCATATCTGATCGAAGTTTAAATCGATTTTTTTTACCTTCTTTTTTTTTCATTTTATTTATATAAAATTCAGTTTATATCATCCAGTGGGAAAAAACTTTTACTCCATGTTTTTCAGTTAAAGATATTAAGGCAGAGCCTCAACCACTTTCTCCAGCCTCCTCAAGTTGTTCAGTCTCATCTCCTCAGTCAGTGGACTCTTATTCTTCAACGCAGCATGTTCCCGTAAGTATGGAATCTTTTACAGTTATTTTGGTTACAATGTTATCCACAACATAAGCATATAGGGGAAGGCAGTTTTAATATGTATTAACTTATTATCCTTATTATTTCCTTCAATCCCGAGGAAACTGAGACTTAGGGAAGGGCCTTGTGGAATCAAGAAAGTTGTTAACATCTCCGGTTTTGCCCTCTTTCCTTCTTTCCCTGTTTTTTTTTTTTTTTTTAAGATTTACTTATTTAATTTTATTTATTATTCTTATTTTTAAAATTTGACCATAGAGAGACAGAAAGGGAAAGTGAGAAAGCAAGTTGCCAGGTCCAGGACTCAAGCCATGGTCAGCCATGTGGGAGTCCAGCACCTTCACCACCATATCACCTGCTGGCCCCTCTCCTGTGTTTTTGCCTCTATAGTTTTATTATTTTCATTGTACTTACCAATACTCAGTATTATATTTTTGTTTATTGGTTTACTGTCTTCTTGCTTCCTTTCCTCCTCCCAGTAAGAATATGTGTTCTTGGCCAGCAGGTGGCATGGTTAAGGTGCTAGATCCCACATGGCCGGCTATACAGTTTGTGTCCTGGACCTGGTGGCTTGAGAATCACGCTAGGTGCATGTGTGTGTGCCCAAAACCCTGAGAGGAGACTAGAGGAGAAGGGATTGTAGTGTGGCCACCCTCCCAAGGGGTAATTTCAAATGGCACCTCCTCCCCAGCACATACACACTATTGCAAAAGCACAAATCAAAACAAAATGAACAAACAAAAGAATATATGTTCTTTGAGGACATAGAAGCATGTTAAGATTGTCAGCTTTTGTGACTCCTTAGGTGTAGAACCTTTTGATAGAATGCTTTCCTAAGGTCAGGAATGCTTACGTCAGGAACGCCTAATACTATCTTCCTATGGGCTAAGGTTTTTACAAAACTCCTTAAGAGTTCTTCTGGGGGCCAGCAGGTAGCATAGTGGTCAAGGACGTAGGCTCCCACATGGCCAGCTGTGGTCTGAATCTTGAACCCAGTGGCTTGAAACTCACACCAGGCATGCATGTGTGCATGTGTGCCCAAAATTCTGAGAGGAGAATGGAGGAGAAGGGATTGTGGTGTGGCCATCCGCACTGGGGGGTGATTTCTCACTTCTCTCTTTCTTCTCTCTGGCAAACACATGCATCCTATAGCAAAAGTCTTTCAAATAAAAATAAAAAAGAGTTCTTCTGCTCTCCTTCCAGACAAAAACCCTGAGGATAAGAAAAGGAAGTATCAAATTTAGGTATTTTTTCAAATGGGAAGGGGAAATTATAATAAGAAAATTGGAATTAATATTTTATTATTTCTGCTATGATTGAGGGATAGTGTTTCCCCTTTATCTGTGGGAGAAATGTTCTAAGACCCCAGTGGATGCTTGAAACCATCAGAAACACTGAACCTATGTTTACCATATACTTTTTGCCGTCTGACAGCCAAGGGAGTGACTTGGTGACGACAGGTATACTCTGTGGTGGACAAGTGGATGGGTCACGTCCCAGGTGGGCAGGAGTAGGACGGTGTGAGATTTTCTCATGCCCTTCAGAATAGCGTGCAGTTTGATACTTACAATTTGTTTATTTCTGGAATTTGTCATTTCATGTTTTTGGGCCCGGGTTGACTGTGGGTAGCTGAAGCTGTGGAGGAGGGATCTAATGTATCTTCATATAGTATCTTCTACATGCAGTCAGTGACTAAGTCCTGGTATTTCTGCTTAGTATCTCTCTCTCTTTTTTTGCCAGAAAGAGAGAGAGAGAGAGACAGAGAGACAGAGAGACAGAAAGCGAGAAATAACCCCCTGGGGGGATGGCCACACCGCAATCCCTTCTCCTCTATTCTCCTCTCGGGATCTTGGGCACACATGCACACATGCCCGGAGTGAGTTTAAGCCACTGGGTCCGGGACTTGAACTGCAGTTGACTACATGGGAGTCCAGTGACATAGCCATTACACCAACTGCTGGTCCCTTTTCGACTATCTCTAAAACTTATTGTTTCTGCTCCTCTTTCTGCTGTACTGTTTCATCATCTCACCTGGTTTAAGTCAGTAGGATTGTAACTATCAATAGTTTCTTTTTTTTTTTTTTTGAGAGGTTTTCGCTATAGGGTGTGTGCGCTCGCCAGACAGAGAGAGACAGAGAGACAGAAAACGAGAAGTCACCCCCCGGGGGGGATGGTCACGCCGCAATCCCTTCTCCTCCATTCTCCTCTCGGGATCTTGGGTACACACGCACACGTGCCCAGTGTGAGTTTTAAGCCACCAGATCCGGGACACGAACCGCGGTCGACTACATGGGAGTTCAGCGACATAGCCATTACACTAACTACTGGTTCCCACTATCAATAGTTTCTGTGCCTCCAACTCTTCAAACCCTTCTTTTTTATTAGAGAGATTTTTGCGATAGGGCATGTGTGCTCACTATATATATATATATATATATATATATAGAGAGAGAGAGAGAGAGAGAGAGAGAGAGCAAGAAATCACCCCCCAGGGGCAGATGGCCACGCTGCAATCCTTTCTACTCCATTCTCCTCTTGGGATTCTGGGCAAGCACTCACATGTGCTTGTTGTGAGTTTGAAGCGGCCAGGTCTGGGACTTGAACTGTGGTCGACCACGTGGAAGTCCAGCAACATAACCATTATGCCATCTGTTGGTACCTCCACTCCCGAACCCTTCTTAACAGAGAAATCCTCAAAGAGAAATCTTTCAAAGTCATGAACTTGGCATTTAGTCATTTGTTTAAAACCTCTTATCAACTGGGCCGGCTGGTGGAATAGTGGTTAAGGTGTCTGGATTGTACAGGGCTGACCGTGCAGTTTGAGACCTAGAGCCGAGGGCCCGTGAAACATGCCAGGCATGTGTGCATATGTGCCCAAATCCTGAGGAGAGTGGAAGGGAAGAGATTGTGATGTAGCTACAGCCCAGAGGGTGCTTTCTCACTTCCCTTTTCTCTAATTGTCTGTCTCTGGTGAGCACACATGCCTTGTAGCAAATTAAAAAACATCAACAAAAACCCCTTTTAATAACTTCCTGACTCTTACAAGGATGAAATTCAGGTTCTGAGTGTTAGCCTCGCCTGGGATGCAGTGGGTGGCAGACTGAACTGCTGGAAACCATGTGGCTGACTGCGGTTTAGATTCTGGGATAGGCTTGCAAACACATACCGAAGATCCCGAGGAGCCAGAGTAGTGGCTGAAGGGGATGGTGGCATCACTGGGCCCTGTCGAAAATGTTTCTCTCTCTGAAACAAGCATATGTATGTGCTATTGTGAATAATAATATTAAAAGCAAAAAGCCCCAGTGCATTAGGTCTTGCCTTTGCTTCCCTCTCCTGTCTTATTTCTTGCTGTCCCCTCCTGTCTTTGCACTCCCCTTAGCTTTAGCCCTATGGGGTTCCTGCTCAAGAGCTCCCACACGTGCCTCTCATTCGACAGTTACGCCGGGTTCAGTTCCCGACGCTGGCAGGAAAGAGCGATGAGCGGCAGGCGCCTCCTCTCCCAGGTGGAGGGTTTGCATATTCTCTTTTTTCTGCCTGGAACAGCAGAAGAAAGTTCCTCTTGGGAAACGCCTTATCTTTTAAGTCTGAGTTCAAAAATGACTTCCTTTGTGAAGTTTTATTTTGAGTGTTACTGTTGGAATCTCTCTTTGGTCCCACAGTTTCTCCAAATGATTTAATTAAAAAAAATGAAGTATGCAACAAAGTGGATTCAGAAGAGCCTGGTTTCTGTCCTTGTCCTTTCTCCCTTTCTTACATAAAAGGTAGCATATTGTACACCCTCTCCTATACCTTGGGTTCTGAGGGACGTGTCATCAGACAGGCATGAGTGCGTGATCACCGGGGAGCGTGTGCATGCAGAGCTAGGTGGTATAGCTTGTAACTCGGCTGTGTTTGCTCCGGGCTCCCACTTACAGAGCATGTTACTACACTGAATACTGTAGGCAGTTGTAGCACAGCCCGAAGTATTTGTGTATTTAAACATATCTAAAGATAGGAAAGGTACAGTAAGCATGCAGTATAAAAAATGGACCAGCAGTTGGCGTAATGGCTATGTCGCTGGACGCCCATGTAGTCAACTGCGGTTCGCGTCTCAGACCCGGTGGCTTAGACTCACCCCAGGTGTGTGTGTATGCGTGCCCAAGATCCCGAGAGGAGAATGGAGGAGAAGGGATTGCAGCGCAGCCATCCCCCCTGGGGGGTGATTTCTCGCTTTCTGTTTTTCTGTCTGTCTCTGTCTTTCTAGCGAGTACACGTGCCCAATAGCAAAAAAACAAAAAAAACAGTGGGTCAGCAGTGGCATGATGGTTGAGGCTGTGTGGTTCGAGTCCCAGACCCAGGTGTTTGAAAATCACTCCAGGCATGTGTGGGTGTGTGCCCGAAATCCTGAGAGGAGAATGCAGGAAAAAGGACTGTGGTGCGGCCATCTTCCCTGGGAGGTAATTTCTCACTTTCCCTCTCTTGCTCTTTGTCTCTCTCTGGTGAGTATACCTGTCCTTTAGCAAAAACCAAAAAATAAAGAAAAAGAAATGAAACACTGCCGAGAGCACTTACTATGACTGGAGCTTGCTCTGGGTGAGCCAGTGAGCGAGTGGCACATGAATGGTATCGTACAGTGCTGTGGACTTTATAAACACTGTGCACTTGGGCTGCACTAAATCCACAGAAATGCTTTTCTTCTATAATAAATTAGCCTTAGCTTACTGTAACTTCTTTTTTGCTATAGAGTGTGTTTGCTGACAGAGAGACAGAGATACAGAGAGAGAGAGAGAGAGAGAGAAAGAAATCATTTCCCAGGTGGGATGGCCATGCCGCAATCCTTTCTCTTTCACTCTCTTGGGGTTTAGGGCACACGTGCACACACATCTGGCACGTTTCTCAAGCTGCTGGGTCCAGGACTTGAACTGTGCCGTCAGCCATGTGGGATCTAGTGCCCTAACCACCATACTGCCTGCTGGCCCACTGTAACTTTTTTTTACTTTTTAAACTTATTAATATTTTAAAACTTTTTGATACTTTGCTTAAAATTTATCATGTGGCTGTAGAAAAAATTTTCCTTTCTTTCTATCCTTATTCTGTATTATTTTTCTATTTTTTAAATAAAAAAATTAGTTAAAAAATTTTCATTTTAATTTTTTTTGGAGAGCTTTTTTTTTTTTTTTGCTATAAGACGCGTGTGCTTGCCAGAGAGACAGAGAGAGACAGAGAGACAGAAAGCGAGAAATCACTCCCCAGCAGGGATGGCCACGTCGCAATCCCTTCTTCTCCATTCTCCTCTCGGGATCTTGGGCACGCATGCACGCACACACGCCTGGCGTGAGTTTAAGCCACTGGGTCCGGGACTTGAACCACAGTCGACTACATGGGAGTCCAGCAACAGCCATTATGCTAACTGCTGGTCCCCAAAATTTTAATTTTTAAACAGCTTAATTAAAACTAAGACACAAATACACACATGAGCTTACTCAGGGTCAGGGTCATCAGTATCATTGTCTACCACCTCCACTTGTTACCCCACTGGAAGGCCCATGCTCAGTAAAACAACACGAGATTAAATCGAACACCAGCGAATGAGGCTGCTGCCAGAGTACGGCATTGTGTTTTACCGTAAGCTCGTTTATACACGTAGGAGTATGTTCCAAATAACGGTAAGTATAACATGGTAAACACACCAACCGGTCACAGTCATTTGTCCTTAGTGCCAAGTGTTGGGTACTGTGTGTGATTTCGTGTACGACTTGGCTCAGAAGGTTGGCTATACCAACATCACCACAGGCAAGTCAGCAATGCCTCGTGCCACGTGGTTATGATGGCTACGGCATCACTGGGCAGTAGGGGTGGCAGCTCCGGTATAAGCTCGTGGGGCCTCTGTCGTACGTGTGATCTGTCACCGAAATGTCATTATGTGCCCGTGACTACTGTGAGCCTCGGGGTGTGTAGTGAGGAGGGTTAGGGATGAACGGATGGAGCAGTTCCGACTCTCCGGGAGACCGAGAGTGTCCCTTCCTCCCATGTCTTCTCCAGGTCATTTAAATATTTTCTTCCGATACAATGTTTAAATTTGCCTTTGGCTACTGTTTGTTTTACTAGTCAGTAAAATGGCTGTTTCTGTCCTTTATGTCCAATTTGGCAAAAGTTTCCCCCCAATATGTGTCTTTAAACTTTTTTATGATCTATTAATAGTTTTCATCATTAATTTTTACTTTTTAAGTTTCGCCATAGGGTACATGTGCTTGATGGAGAGAGACGGAGAGAGGGAGAGAGAGAGATAGGGAGAGTGAGAAATTACCCCTAGGAAGGATGGCCATGCTGCAGTTTCTTCCCCATTCTCTGCTCAGAATTTTGAGCATGCATATGCACATCCTAGAGTGTTTTTTTTTTTTTTTAAAGAAGTATTTATGTATTAAATTTTAGCTATCATCATTATTATTATTTTAAAATTTGCTACAGGGCACATGCACTCACCAGAGAGAGATGGGGCCAGATGGCTGGGGGAGTGAGAAAGCAAGCCACCAGGTCTGGGACTCCAGCCACCGTTGACCATGTGGGAGTCCAGTGCCTTAACCGTCATGCCACCTGTCTACCTCTGGAGTGTTTTATGAGTTGTCAGGTCCAGGACTCAAACCACATGTTGGATCCAGCTGCCTTTAACCACCACTCCATCAGCTGGCCCCCCATTGCTAAACTTTTTAAAAATTATTTTATCTAACTTTATCTACTTATTTATTTTAATTTGACCAGAGAGGGAGAGAGTGAGAGCGAGGAAAAGTAAGAAAGCAAGCTGCCAGGTCCAGGACTTGAATCGTGGTCGGCCATGTAGGAGTTCAGCATCCTTAACCACCATGCTGCCTGCCGGCCCCCCAGTGCTAAATATTTTAATAATAATTTTTTTAATTGCCAGAGGGCATGTGCACTGCCAGAGAGACAGAGAGACAGAGATAGAGAGACAGGGCAGGGGGAAAGGAGGAAGCATCCCCTCATTGGGGCGTGGTCATGCATCAATCTCTTTCATTTCTCTACTCTTTTGTGTACACATGTCTGATACTTTTTTCTTCTTTTTAAAGAATTATTTTATTTAACTTTAGTTATTTACTTATTTATTTAAATTTGACTAGAGAGGGACAGAGAGAGAGAGAGAGAGAGAGAGAGAAGGAAAGTAAGAGAGCAAGCTGCCAGGTCTGGGACTTGAACCATGGTCAGCCATGTAGGAATGTTGCTCTCTTAACCACCATGCCACCTGCTGTCCCCTTGCCTGATATTTTCCAAACAGTGCCTCGCTATATAAGATCCAGCTCTCTTAACCACTAGGCCACAGGGTCAGCCCATATTTTTAATTATTATTTCTTTAAATCTATGTCTTCCTTTATTGCTTCTGAGTGTTTTGACTTAAAAGAGTTTAGTAAAAATTATTTTGCTTTTAAGGCTGAATAAAAGAGATTATGGGGATTAATTGTAGCCATAAATGGTATTAAGTTTATGTGACGAGGAACTGGTAAGATAGGAAAGCTTGTAGGAGAAAATGCAGAGCCAGATCATTGATTTCTGTCTGTCTTTATTTATTTTTTGGAAAGGTTTTTGCTATAGGGTGCATGCGCTCGCCAAAGAGATAGAGACAGCAAGTGAGACATCACCTCCTAGGGGGGATGCCACGCCGCAATCCCTTCTCCTCCATTCTCTTGGGATCTTAGGCACATATGCACACGCGCCCGGCATGAGTTTAAGCCACCAGGTTCAAGACTTGAGCCGCGGTCGACTACATGGGAGTCCATTACACTAACTGCTGGTCCCGTTGATTTCTGTTTTTAATCCAAGAGGCTGACAAACATAGCTTCACACGTTGAGTCATTTTTCTTTGGTGTTGATGATTAATGCTGATTTATCCATACTCAGCACTCCACTTCTAGACATATTTTCTAATATATCTAATATACCTTTGTCTTTAAGTTGCCATGAAGTATTTTTCTTTTGGGTTGTTGGAAAAGTTATGATGCGTTTTGCATGGAAAAACATAGAAAACTACATCATGATAGATCATGCTTTGCTTTCTAGCAGTTTGCTGCTCAGGGTCGCACTCCTGCATTACGCTGTGTTTTATTTTGCTGCAGGAGGAGTTGGATTTGTCTTCGAGTTCCCAGCTGTCTCCTCTTTCCTTGTATGGAGAGAGCTGCAGTAGTCCTTCCTCCGCAGAGCCACTGAAGGAAGATAAGCCTGTCATTGACCCTAGGAACAAAACTGGTATTACTCCATCTCCTAACTTCTGTTATCTCTGTTTTAGACTGAGGTTAGGCTCTATTTCTTTGAACAATTTGTTGGGTTAAGCGCATTTATTAAACTGGCTCGCTTTGCTCCCTGGCCCTGCGTTGTTTGTTGTGGTTGATTATTGCAGAGAGGAGAGGGAAGGAATAATCTTTGGTTGTCTCTGTCATTTCAGGTAAATGATACTTTAAACTAAATTTGGGACTCATCTTCAGGAGAGATTGAAAAATTCTAATAAAAGATGCTGCGTTTGAGGGCCATGTGTTACCTATTTACCTCCAGGCTTTATTTAGTGATTCGAGGTTTTCTCCTTTAGCAGTTCCTGTGCCTCTTTCCCACAGCTGCAGCATGGTCACCAAAGTAGATCTCAGTTTAAGGATTTTCCTTTAGTCCCTTCAAATATGGAGTAGCTAGGCTTAAACTCCAGTTAAAAATAGTTGCTAGAAGTCAAGATAGGAGTCAGCAGGTGACATGGTGGTTAGGGCACTGGATTCTTTTTTTTTTTCTTTCTTTTTTTGGAGAGGTTTTTGCTATAGGGCGCGTGCGCTCGCCAGAAAGACAGAGACAGAGAGACAGAGAGACAGAAAGAAAGTACTCCCCTTGCAGGGGGGATGGCCACGCCGCAATCCCTTCTCCTCTATTCTCCTCTCGGGATTTTGGGCACGTACGCACATGTGCCCAACGTGAGTTTAAGCCACCAGGTCTGGGACTTGAACTGCGGTCAACTACTTGAGAGTCCAGCAGCATAGCCATTATGCTATCTGCTGGTCCCAGGACACTGGATTCACACATGGCCGGCCATGGATTGAGTCCTAGACTGGTGGCTTGAAAATCACACTAGGCACATGTGTGTTCATGCCCAAAATCTCAGGAAGAGACTGGAGGAGAAGGGACTATAGTGTGGCTATCTCCCTTGGGGGTTGATTTTTCACTTTTCCTCTTTCTCCCTCTCTCTCCTTAACCTCCCTCCCCGAATGTATAAACCCTATGGCAAAAATAAAACATACTTAAAGGGACCAGCAGATGGCATAATGGTTACGTAGCTGGACTCTCACATGTCTGACCACCCAGACCGGTGGCAAGAAAACCCCACACACTTGAAAAAAAAAGCCAAGATAATATGTAGAGAAACGTATGTAATAAAGTCTTTTTTTTTTTTTTTTTTGAGAGAGATTTTTGCTATAGGGTGCATGTGCTTGCTGGAGAGACAGAGAGAGAGACAAAGCGAGAAGTCACCCCCCAGGGGTTGGGCACGCTCACAGTCCCTTCTTTTCTACTCTCCTCTAGGGATTTTGGGCACGCACGCACACACCTGGCATGAGCTTCAAACTGCCGTGTCCAATACTCAAAACATGATTGACTATGTGGGAGTCCAGTGACGTAACCATTACACTATCTACTGCTCCTGCCATAGAGTCTCTTTTCTAATGCTTGTTTAATTATCTTTTAATTGATTTGTGGTTTGTTTGTTTTCTATCCAGAAAATGGACTGACTCCAAAGAAAAAAATTCAGGCAAATTCAAAACCTTCAATTCAGCCCAAGCCTTTATTGCTTCCAGCAGCACCCAAGACTCAAACAAACTCCAGTGCGCCAGCGAAAACCATCATTATTCAGGCACTGCCCACACTTATGCCTCTGACGAAGCACCAGCCGATTATCAGCATACAGCCTGCACCCCCTAAAGGTACGTGAGTCGAATTTGAGGCTGGGTTTGTTTATTTGGAGGGCAGTACGACTCGTGCTGTGTGCTTTCATTCAGGCTGTAATTTCAGAGCACATGCTGTGTGTCAGGAGTTGTCCTTGGACCTGAGGATGTCACAGACATGACTAATACGTCGTTGCTGTCCTAACGGGGGAGATAGCCGTCCAGATCAGTTACTCTGATACTTAAGGTTTTAATTGTCGAAACAGCTTTCTCCAAGGCTTTTGGTTTTCTGTGTTCTTGTATTAAAGAACAAAATCTGGGAAACTTTCTTGGTGCCGTTTTATACTCAGATTTTTATGGCTGTAGCTTATTTTTGTTTTTAAGGAGCTGTCAGCATTTAAAATGAAATGATCCATTTCAAGTCTGTGGGTGTGTTTTAGCATTAGGATCAAGTTCTTTCTTTTTTTTTTTGGAGAGGTTTTTGCTATAGGGTGCATGTGCTCACCAGAAAGGCAGAGAGAAAGAGACAGAAAGCGAGAAATCACCCCTCAGGGAGAATGGCCACGCTGCAGCCCCTTCTCCATTCTCGTCTCGGGATCTTGGGCACGCACGCACATGCGCCCAGTGTGAGTTTAAGCCACTGAGTCTGGGACTCAAACTGTGGTCAGCTACGTGGGAGTCCAGCGACATAGCCATTATGCCATCTGCTGGTCCCAAGAATCAAGTTCTTTTGTTTTTTAAAAGAATTATTTAATTTATCATCATTATTATTTTTAAAATTTTGCTATAGGGCATGTACTCTCACTAGAGAGAGAAGAGAGAGAAAATGAGAAAGCAAATTGCCAGGTATGGGACTTGAACCGCATTTTGGCTATGTGGGAGTGCAGCGCCCTAACCACCATGCCATCTGTGGGCCCCTAGGATCAAGTTTTTAACCTGAGGATGTTGCATGCTTTAAGGAACAGGATATTGAACTGGGCATTAGGAGGAGACCTGAACTCTGCCTTACTTGGCTAAGAATTTCTGTGCTTCCATACTTTGTCCACCAGATGGCCTCACACACTTGTGATTGTACATAGAGTTTAGGCTGGTAGTGAAAGAAGTTCAAGTTTGAGGTTTTGCCAGCATTCCAATAAAGGAATTGTTTGTTCCCAGAGATCTGTGAGGCAGATTAGTCCTCACTGGACGCACACCGATACATGCACACCAGTGTACAGGAGACCTTCTGCAGCACTCTTGCCTCTGGATTTACCTTGATGGTGCCAAGTGGGACTAGGTGCTAATTTGAGGCAAACAAGTTGCAAGTAAACACCAATGTATATTTGCTTTTATGGCCATATTTTCATTTGTGGATAGAGAACCTTTCTTTGGAACATTTTTTTCTAAAGAATTATTTAAATAAATAAATAAATAAATAAATAAATAAATAAATAAAAATTTGACCAGAAAGGGACAGCGTGAGAGAGTGAGCGAGCAAAAGTGAGCAAGCAAGCTGCCAGGTCCAGGACTCGAATCCTGGTCGGCCTTGTGGGAGTCTAGCGCCCTTGACCACCATACCACCTGCTGGCTCTTTGGGACATTTTTAAAAAATCAGTTTTTAAACTACGTAGACAGGAGAGTAAGGTATTTTTGATAGAGTCTTACCACTGCGATCCTCTACCCTACCCGCCAGTTAGTTAGGACTTCAGGGGCACTTCAGGGGCACACTGCCCTGCCTGGCTGGTTTAGGTTGGTCCAGGAAACACAACCTGGCCTTTCGCTTGGTTTGGCTGCAGTCTGATGTAGTGCCACAGCACCGCTTGAGCCACACATCTGAGCCTGGAGCAAAGGTTTTTAGTGGTTTTTTTTTTTTTTTAACAGAGCAATGTACTCACTGGAGGGACAGAGAGAAGAAAAGTGAAAATCACCCTCCCAAGTGGGGTGTCTACACTGCAATCCCTTCTCCTCCATTCTGGGGGTGTCTACATTGCAATCCCTTCTCCTCCATTCTCCTCTCATTTTGGGCATGAATGTACACACACCTGGTGTGATTTTCAAGGGACTCGAACCATGATTGGCCATGTGAGGGTCCAGAGCCTTAACCACTACACCATCTGCTGGTCCCTGAAGTGAAGTTTTAATGAAGGCCAAATCATACTCAGTTAGATTCGTTATGATCATATACTATGTAATGCTGATAAAAACAACTTGATGAAATGGATCAGTGAAAATCCTTCGATCCTTACCAACAAAACTCCACAAGGTAGTATTTAAAATGCCCACCCTCACAGTACAAGGTCAAAACTGCTATCTTTTTTAATGTGAAAAATAGCAATCCTATGGGACCAGCAGTTAGCGTACTGGCTATGTCACTGGACTCCCACGTGGTTGACTGTGGTTCGAGTCCCGGACCCGGCGGCTTAAACTCGCGCCGTGCACGTGTGCATGAGTTCCCAAGATCCCGAGAGGAGAATGGAGAAGGGATTGTGGCGTGGCCATCCCTCCTGGGGGGGGGGATTTCTTGCTTTCTGTTTCTCTTTCTGGTGAGCGCATGCGCCGTATAGCAAAAACCTCTCAAAAAAAAAAAGTGTGGAATCACAGAGTTTGATGATTTGATGACAAGGAAAGGGGTAGACATAGAGGAAGGTATCCCAGCTGACTTCCTTATTTTGGGGGGAGTGTTTTTGCAGTCAATGATAGTGCAAATCATAGAAATGGGTAATAGAGGGAGAATAATTTGTCCCAGGTCACTCTGCTAGTAGGAAGTAGAGCCAGAACTTGAGCCCAGGTGATCTGGCTCAGAGTCCATATGAGAGGTCTTCAAATCATTTGTGGAAAATATGGAAAAATTATGCATCGATTTTAAACATTTTTTGCACCAAGATAAACTCATACTTTAAATTTTTCATGAACTTTTGAAATCTCTTGGTATAGTCACTATACTATATTGCTTCTAAGAAAATGATGAGATTAACCAACAGCTGGCATAGAGGTTAAGGCACAGGACCTACATGGCCAGCTTCACAGTTCAAATCCCAGACTCGTTTGAGAATCACCATAGACACATGTGCTTGTATGCCCCCCAAATCCCGTGAGGAGAGTGAAGGATAAGGATTACAGTGTGGCCATCTCCTCTGGGGGGTGATTTCTCACCCCCCTCTACTTCTCTCTCTCTCTCTCTGGTGAATGCATGTAACCTATAGCAAAAAAGAAAAAATAAAAAATGAAATGTGGTCCTTGTTCTCAATAATTTTAACTCTTGTCTTTTTTTATTTTTGAGAGTTTTTTTTTTTTTTTTCTATAGGGTGCATGCGCTTGCCAGAAAGAAAGAGAGAGAGGCAGAGAGCTAGAAAGCGAGAAATCCCCCCCCAGGGGATGGCAATCCCTCCTCCATTCTCCTCTTGGGATCTTGGGCACACACTCACGCACATGTGCCCAGTGTGAGTTTAAGCCAGCAGGTCCAAGATTTGAACTGCGCTTGACCATGAGAGTCCAGTGACATAGCCATTACACCAACTGCTGGTCCCTCAAGAATCTTAACTCTTAACTCTCCTTTTAATTGGAGAGTTAAGTAAACCAATAGTGGAATTACAGTTGTTGTGAGAACTAATGAATTAATAACATGCCGTGCCCTTAAGGAAGCTGTTATACAGAAAAGAGATTAATAATTTTAATAAATAGTGTTTAAGCTCTTACTGTGTGCCAGACATTCTTTTAAGTGTTCAAGTGCCTGTTATTTAATATAATATCAGTTCATGAGGGTAGATGTTAGTATTTTTCTTTGTTTTTTCTTTTTTAAGGTTTTTGCCATAGGGCACTTGCACTCTCTGGAGAGACAGTGAGAGGGAAAGTAAGAAATCACGACCCAGGGGGCATGGCCGTGCTGCAGTCCCTTCTCCCTCACTCTCTTCCAGGGATTTTGAGCTCGCGTGCACACTCACCTAGCATGATTTTTAAACTGCTGGGTCTGGGACGTGGACCACGTCGGCCATGTGGGAGTTTAGTGCCTTAACCACTTTGCCATCTGCTTGCCCCAATATCTTCAATTCTTATGTGAGAATAATACTAGGCTCAGAGAGAATACTTGCCCAGAGTCACACAACTGTGCTATTTTAGACTAAGGAGGCATCCAGTACACGTTGGATCCATAGCTTGACATCTTTGAAGAAAGTTGAAAAGAAAGAACTACAAACTCAGTGAGTCATACACCGTCAGAAGCACCCAGCATTGAGTCTAGTCGTATCTTATTAAGGGGATTTCACATGTAATGCCCGAGAGGATTTAGAGCAGGCCGAAGTGGATAAACAGCCTTTTGGTATGTCCTGTTTAACCGTTGCCACACGGGGAACTGTAGTAACAGCTGCGAGCTATTTAAGGCCCCCAGCCGTCCTTTGCATTGTATAATGGTTTGTGGTCTGGTCAGCCTTTAGTAAGTCACCATGAGAGTTTTTGTTCTTTTACTCGAACACATTGAAATAGAAATTTGTTTTCCTTCATTCTGTCTTGAACGCATCCATGCCCAAAATATGTAGAGGATCTTTGACTTCGATGCTAGGTAATTTGACAGTGGCCGAGTACGGAGAGAAGAAAGGGCTTGGCGTGCAGGAGGGGAAACTCGGAGGCAGCATTGGCCCCGGGCTGGAACCATGCTGAGCCCAGGCTTTGCTGGGTGTTCCTTCTTCTTTTCCTCGCTGCTATGCAGAGCTTTCAGCAAGGAGGTGGTGATTAGAACTGGACTGTAAACAGTACAGCCCTGGGTTATTTTTCTTAATTAGTTGTTTACAAATTATGTATTTACTTTTATTTATTTTAAAATAATTATTTTATTTATTTATTTATTGTTTTAATTTGACTAGAGAAGGACACAGTGGGGGGGAGGCAAGTGAGAAAGCAAGCTGTCAGGCCCAGGACTCGAACCGCAATTGGCCATGTGGGCGTCCAGCGCCCTTAACCACCACACCACCTGCTGGCCCCTGTTGTTATTATTTTTAAATTTGCTATAAGGCATGTGTGCTTACCAGAGAGAGTCAGAGAGAGAGAGAGAGAGTGAAAAAGTGAGAAAGCAAGCTGCCATACCCAGGACTCGAACTGCAGTCAATAATAACCACCATACCTAATCTATTGGCCCCCTTAATTAGTCTTAAGAAATGTCTCAAAGCTACCTGCATGTGTATTTTTCCAATGGTTTGTCTTTAGCTGGAGCTAGAAATAGGATTCTTTCTTTTTTGTTTGTTTTTTTTTTTAGTTTACTCTAGGGTTTGTGCGCTCATCAGAGAGAGAAAAAGGAAAAGTGTGAAATCACCCCTCAAGGGGATGGCCACACCATAATCCCTTCTCCTCCGTTTCCTCTTGGGATTTTGGGCATGTGTGCACATGTGCCTGGTGTGATTTTCAAGCCACCAGGTCTGGGACTCGAACCGCAAAGTCAGCCATGTGGGATCCAGCCACCTTAACTTCTGCATCACCTGCTTGCCAGGATCCTTTCTTTGAAGTGACTTGGTTTGTTATGTTTACGCTTCTTCTGTTCTTTGAAATAGTCCTAAAGTTCATGAACAGTGTTTAATTTGGGGTGGGGAGTATCTTTTCACTGTAATTTTTAAACTCAAAGTGTATGGAAAGTTGCTTCTTACAGTGCCGCTTTCAAAGTGTTGGTTTAAATCAGTGCTTCTATCTGTAGACTGTGGACCCTTGGGTGTGTGTGATGTTAGTAGTAGCTAGAAGGCATTTTGTAAAGCAAGCGTTTTCTCATAGCAAGCATTTTCTGTAGACCAAATGATTTTCAAGCCTTTGTGTCCGGGTCTCATCGCAGTCAGCCATGTGGGATCCAGCCGTCTTAACCTTCACACCATCTGCTGGCTTTCAGTTCTTTTGTTTTTTAAAGTATTTTTGGGCTGGCAGGTGGCATCATGGTTAGGGCACTGGATTCCTACATGGCTGACCATGGTTCAAGTCTTGGACCTGGTGGCTTGAGAATCAGGCTAGATACATGTGTGCATGCGTGTCCAAAATCCCTGAGAGAAGAATGGAGGAGAAGGGATTGCAGCATGACCATCCCCCCTCAGGGGTGATTTCTTGCTTTCTGTCTCTCTGAAGTACACACACCCTATAGCAAAAATATCTCAAACGACAACAACTCAAGTTTATTTCATGAAGGATAGAAACAAAGATAACCACCCTTAACAAGGTGTCACTCATGCTGCAATACCCCATCCTGTGATCCCAGCCAGCCAGCAGCAGGGGCATGTGCAAGCTCCTGGTGTACACAGACCGACCCGGGAGTCAGCCCTGCGTCTCCATTTAGCTCCAGCACCGTGGAGTGGTGCGCCACAGCTGAGCCACCACGCCTGGCCTCATTACCAGATTCTTTTATTTTAGTTGTGCTATAGGGTGTGAGCACTCACTAAAGAGAGAGAAGGAAAATGAGAAATCTCCCCCTGGGGGGATGGCCATGCTGCAATCCCTTCTCCTCCATTCTCCTCTCAGGATTTTGGGCACATATGCACCTGCATGGTTTACAAGCTACTCAGTCTGGTACTTGAACTGTGGAGTGGGTCACGTGGGATCCAGAGCCTTAACCGCTACACCATTTGCTGGCCCTGGTTACTATATTCTTTTTTTTAAATAAAGAATTATTTAATTTATTCATTTATTTATTTTAATTTGACCAGAGAGAGAGAGAGAGAGAGAGAGAAAGCAGGCCACCAAGTCCAGGACTTGAACTGTGGTCAGTCATGTGGGAATGTCCAGCTTTTTAACCACCATGCCACCTGCTGGTCCCATGGTTATTAAATTCTTTATAGCCTTTCTCATCTTGTGTTTTTTTCAATCCACAGAAACTGAAAGGAAGCCGTGATCATCTTGGGTGACCCTGATATTTTTTGTTATTAAAGAAAAGTACTTATATTCAGGGTTGGTAACTATTTTTTTTTTTTGCTATAGGGTGTTTGTGCTCTCCAGAGAGACAGAGACAGACAGAGAGACAGAAAGTGAGAAATCAGCTTTTGTGGGGATGGCCATGGTGCATGTGGGAGTCCAGCGATGTATCCATTACACCATCTGCTGGTCCTGGTAACTCTTTGTTGAAGTTTTATATTATGATGAGTTTTTTTGTTTTTGTTGTTTTTTTGAGAGGTTTTTGCTATAGGGAACATATGCTCGCCAGAAAGATAGATAGAGAGACAGAAAGCGAGAAATCACCCCCCCAGTGGGGATGGCCACACTGCTATCCCCTCTCCACTGCTCTCTCCTTAGGATCTTGGGCATGCATGCACACGCGCTCGGCATGAGTTTAAGCTAATAGGTCTGGGATTCGAACCATGGTCGACTACATGGGAATCTAGCGACATAGCCATTATGTCAATTGCTGGTTCCTGATAAGTATTATTTTATAGTGCCAGATTGACTCTAATTTCACATTCATTTATTAAAAACCTAACACTTGGTCATGTGGTATTATTTTTGTTTGCATATTTGGTTCAAACTTATTTATATTCTACTTATGAGCCATTTCCCCATTTTGTAAGTTTTTATTTCATAAAAGAAGTAAGTCCAGGGGAGAATGAGAAGATAAAATTGTTTAGCAATCATTTATTTCCAAGAAAATTATATGTACTCCTAATCTACGAAATTATTATATCTTCTTACCAATTTACTAATTTATCTGGGATAAGATGCTGTTCGTTGAATTTTTCTGCTGTTACTGTGCTTTTTGAGGCCTTCTGAAACAAAGGCTTTGTTTTATAAAAGGATCTTTTTTTCTTTTTTCAGCCCACACAGATGTTCTTAACAAACAGGTGTTCTAAAGTGTTATTTCGATTTTTAGTTTTCTCTGATCCTTTGAAATACTGAGCTGGGTTTTACATGGGTCATATTAAACTGTCTGAAAGTATAATGCTTTTTGTTTTCCTAAAGAGAAATTATAAATTTACAAGGAGTTTTAGTTGCCAGTTACTTGGTACCTTTATTTTGTCAGATAGGCCCAAGCAGCTGTGGCTATTAGACTTTCAACACCTTATAAAACTGGCCAGGTCCAAAAGGACCCTTAGCAGGCTAGTAACGTTTTTAATAGATTGGAGTTATAGGTTGTGTAAGTCTTCATTAGGTTAAAAGTACCAATTCTTTTTAGATTATCATGAGCTTAAAGTAATGAAAAATGTGACCAATAAGAAAAGATTTAAAGGGAGGCCAGCAATTGGCTTGGAGGTTAAGGTGGCTGGATCCCATATAGCCAAATTCGTGGTTTGAGTCCTGGACCTGGCAGCTTGAAAAATCACACCAGGGTCATCTACGTGTGTTTGTGCTCAAAATCCCAAGAGGATAATGGAGGAGAAGGGATTGCAGTGTGGCCATCCTCTCGGGGGGTGATTGCTCATTCCTCCTCGCCTCTGTTTCTCTCGGGTGAGCGCATACACCCTATAGCAAAAACTAAAAAACAAACAAACAAACAAAAAGCAAAAGAAGAGATTTAAAAGGTATCATTTGGGGTTGGGGCAGAAAGATTGGTATTATCTACAGACTATTTTAAATTACAGATTTGTGTATACTGTGCTTATTAGCTGAGAATTTATCTCAAATAGTTTTATTTTTTTTGCTTTTTGTAGTACCTTATTCTTTTTTATAAAATCATTTTTTTAAGATTATTTCATTTTATTTATTTATTCCTTTATTTCAATTTGACTAGAGAGAGACAGAGAAAGTGAGAAAGCAAGCCACCAGGTCCAGCCACTCAAACCGTGGGTCGGCCATGTGGGTTTGTTCAGCGCCTTAACCACCATGCCACCTGCTGGTTCCCTATAAAATCATTTTTTAAAAGTTTATTATTTCTTTAAAAGCAGAGAAAGAGAGAGAGACAGGGACACAGGCACCCTGGATAGAGCTCTCTTGTTGCAGCCCATCCCTGGTCCCAGCTGGCCTGGATCATAGGCATGTGCATGTGCCTCGCATGCTGAAGGAGGTCCCAGGATATGAACTCAGGGCCTTTCCCACGGGGTCCCTCTGCACCATCACCACTTGCCCTGCCTTGTTCTTTCAGTATTGAGTTGCCATGTCTATGCTTATACATTTTTGGTGTTCTATGCATTTGTAATTGCTATTAATTTAAAATGTATGGGCCTAGCCAGGGTGGTGTAGCGCATACTGGACTGCAGTGCTGGAAGCCACGTGGCCAGCTGTCAGTTTGGATCCTGGGTTGGCCTGAAATGCACTGGGCATGAGTGTGAGGAGCTGGAGGGATGAGGAAAGGGGATTGCTGCGTAACAAGACTCTGTTCAGGGTTCTCGATCTCTCTTTGTCTTGTGTGTATATACAAAATAAAATAAATAAAAATACAAAATAAAAATACTGGGTTGTTGGAAAAGTCATGGTGCATTTTTGCATAGAAAAATAAGTCATGACTTTTTTCATATTCAGTATTAAAGTTTTGTTTATAATATGAAAAATCCTTTACCACTAATCAATTTGAAAGGTACTTAAAGAAATCTGTGTCTAGCAGGAAATTTGATATGTGTATGTTTGGGAAAGATAAATATAGAAATATAGACTGTGGTTTGAGTCCTGGACTTGGTGGCTTGAAAAATCACACTGGACGCATGTGTGGGCATGTCAGAAATCCTCGGAGGAAAATGGAGGAGAAGGGATTGTGGTGTGGCCATCTTCTCTGGGAGGTGATTTTTCACTTTCCCTGTTTTTGTATCTTTCTCTCTCTCTCTCTCTCTCTCTGGCCTATGCCCTATGGTAAAAATAAAAAAAAAAAGATTACACCGTGAGTATGTGCTGCTATTGATCGCATTGTAATCCATGGTATTAAATCCCCAGTGTTGAACTTCATGCCGGCATCCACAGACGACACCTGGCTGTGAACTGCCTCCCCCGCCGCAGCACTCCTGCACCCTCTGATTCCCTGTCTTTCTCCCCGTGCAGGTCAGACGGTGTTGCTCTCCCAGCCCACGGTGGTACAGCTTCAGGCCCCTGGAGTGCTGCCCTCTGCCCAGCCGGTGCTCGCTGTTGCTGGGGGAGCCACGCAGCTACCTAACCATGTGGTGAACGTGGTGCCAGCCCCTGTGGCGAACAGCCCAGCGAATGGAAAACTTTCCGTGACTAAACCTGTCCTGCAAAGCACCATGAGAAGCGTGGGTTCAGATGTAAGTTTTTAAACTTACTTTTTTTTTGAGGGAATTATTTTTATTTAATTTTATTTATTCATTAATTTTAATTTGACCAGAGAGAGACAGACAGAGAAAGAGAGAGAGAGAGAGAGAGAGAGAGAGAGAGAGAGAGAGAAAGAGAGAGAAAGCAAGCCAAAAGCCAGCCACCAGGTCCAGGACTTGAACTGTGGTCAGCCACATGGGAGTGTCCAGTGCTTTAACCACCACACCACCTGCTGGTCCCAAAACTTAGTTGTTTGTTTTACATCCCTGATTTTAGAAAGATTTTATTTTTTTCTATAGGGCCTATGTGCTTGCTACAGAGAGACAGAGAGACAGAAAGCAAGAAATCACCCCCCTGGGGATAGATATGGCCACAACACAATCTCTTCTCCATTCTCCACTCAGGATTTTTGGCGTGTACATACACACACTGGCATGAATTTTAAGTTGCTGGGTCTAGGACTTGAACCTCAGTTGACTACATGGGAGTCTAGCAACGTAACCATTATGCCACCTCCTGACCCTTACATGCCTGATTTTAAAAAGGAAAAGACATTTTGATCAGAGAGAGACAGAGTGAGTGAGAGAGAGAGAAAGTGAGAAAGCAAGCTGCCAGGTCTGGGACTCGAACCATGGTCTGCCATGCGGGAATCCAGCATCCTTAATCACCATGCCACCCTCCATCCCCACCTTTCTTTTTTATTTAAGTTTTTTCTATAGAGCATGTGCACTTGCCAGTTAAGACAGAGAGAGAGAGAAATTGAAAAATCACCTTTTAGGGAGGATGGCCATGCTGCAATCCTTTCTCCTCCATTCTCCTCTCGGGAGTTTTAGCATGCATGCACATGTGCCTGGCATATTTTTCAAGCCACTGGGTCCAGGATGCAAACCATTCAGCCAGCTAGATCATGTTAAGGCATGATCTAGTGCCTTAACCACCAAGCCACCGGCTGGCCCTGCCTTTTTTTTTTTTTTTTATTTTTTTTTTTAGTTTATTATAATGCTGCAAATAAAAGAGTATGTTGAAATTGCACATCCAGTCTTTGGTGGAAAGTTATGATAAGGCTTACATTAGAATCTAATTGAAAAGGTTTTCAAAGTCTGAAGTGGTCTGATGAAGAGTGTGGTATGTATACCTTTTCCTTTACTCTGTCTTTAGAATTGTCTTACCATACTTCTTGAGCACTCACTGCCCTAACTCAGTCATCCACTAATATTTTACAGAGTCTTTCGTGTTTCCTGACAAGTGTTTTTAGCAACTCCCTGGATAAGAGTCTGTAGACTACTTTTTAGGCAGGTTATATTTAGCTTCTCCCTTGTCTTTGGAAGGATTTTCACCACTGCATAATGATGACTTGCTACGCTTAGGAATTCTGTCTCTTAATGATTATCTGGCACTTTCCATCTTTGCAAACTTTCATGTTTTCTAGCATGCTGTAGAGATTTCTTATAATTTATAAATCACAGAGTTTCCTAAAATCTGTCACTCCCTAAAGCCAGTTACAGACAGCACTTGCCAGGGAACTCTTGCTTTCTTTTAGAGTAGTCTGAAATATCTTATGTTGTGTGTTAAATAGAATTGAACATCATGGCTCTAAAATTTAATGAAAGGTGAAGTTAAATAATTAATCTAACAATGGATTCTTTAAAATTAGGATTGAGAAAGTAAGGCCTGTATGTTTTCTTTAAAATAATGATATGGATATTTCTAGTTGTATCACTGCTCTACCCTTTCTTTAAGTAGAGTGCTTTTGCAAAGTATTTTTAAAATCCTGTGAGTTACACAAGGTTATTCATCAGCCTACTGTCTGATCTGCCTACCAGAATTTATTAACAAGCATGTCAGTGACCCACTTAGTCGTGAAATTGCTCCACTGTTGCATAAACACAGCAAAGTAATCTCAGCAATTTTGTTAAAATCCATAACAAACAACTATTACCTAATGAAAGTAAAACATCTGATTTCTTTTTCTTTTTTTTAGAGAGATTTTTACTATAGGCATGTGTGCTTGCCAGAGAGACAGAGATAGAAAGTGAGAAATCACTCCCCGGGCAGATGGTCACGCCATAATCCCTTCTCCTCTTTGATTTTGGACACACACACACATGTGCCCGTATGAGTTTTAAGCTGCCAGGTCTGGGACCCAAAATGTGGTCAACCACATGGGAGTCCAGCAATGTAACCATTATGCCATCTGCTGGTCCCAAAACATCTGACTTCTGGAGAAAGAGTCCTATGGTCCGTAAAGGTGTTGACAACGGTGATGCTGGGTATAACGTGGAATATTAGTGTTATATGAGAATAGAAACCATGGTTAATACAGTATTATGCTTGACTGTTATGTTAGTTTCTTTGGAGAACCAGAAGTAAGCACAGTGCTTTTACTATGCAATTCAGTTGAAGATCAAACAATATGTTGCTGGAATTTTCTGTCAGTTATGTGGTGATGGGAACCAGCAGTTAGCGTAATGGCTATGTCGCTGGACTCCCACGTAGTCGACCGCGGTTCGCGTCCCGGACCCGGTGGCTTAAAACTCACGCTGGTCGCGTGTGTGTGCGTGCCCAAGATCCCGAGAGGAGAATGGAGGAGAAGGGATTGCGGCATGACCATCCCCCCTGGGGGGTGATTTCTCGCTTTCTGTCTCTATGTCTCTCTCTGTCTGTCTGGCGAGCGCACGCACCCTATAGTGAAAATCTCTCAAAAAAAAAAAAAGTTATGTGGTGAGCACAGAATAGGCAAGATTGGCAAAGTGTTGATCATCAGGGAAGCTGGGTGTTTTGTCTTTCTTTTTAGTGCATGGGAAGATTTCTATAGTAAGTAAAAGAATGACAATAACAAAACCCCAGAAATATTCTGTGTTTTTTTTTAAAATTAAAAAATTATACAAAGTTGGGACCAGGAGTTAGCGTAATGGCTATGTCGCTGGACCCCCATGTAGTTGACTGCAGTTCGCGTCCCGGACCTGGTGGCTTAAAACTCACACCGAGCGTGTGTGTGTGTGTGTGCGTGCCCAAGATCCCGAGAGGAGAATGGAGGAGAAGGGATTGCAGCGTGGCCATCCCCCCTGGGGGGTGATTTCTTGCTTTCTGTCTGTTGGGAGAGCACATGCGCCCTATAGCAAAAACCTCTCAAAAAAAAAAAATTGTACAAAGTTGGCCTGTAGCATAGTAGTAAGAGCTTAGGCACTATGCATTGGGAGCCAGATCCCATAAGATCGACCCCAGTTTGAATTCCAACCCAGGTGGCTTGAAAAACATGCTGAATATGAGTGTATATAAAATCCTGGCAGGAGCGAGAGGTGGAGGAAAAGGAATTGTAGCATGACCCCACTCCATCAGAGGGTGCTTTCTCTCTCTGATAAGCAGATGCATTCTCAGACTATAAAAAGGTGTACAGCAGTTAAAAAAAAAAAAAAGAGTATACATTTCACAGGAGACTGAGAAGGTTAAGAGTAATGAAACGATTTCAAAAAATGATCCCAGAAAATTTCCTTTTATTGCTCTTTAACTTATTATCTTGACTGTTTCTTGTGTAATAATCCTAAAATAGCAATAGAAACTATTCAGTACTAACTTTATATAATATGTGAGGACATTTGAAATATTAATTATGAAATATTTTAGGCATGAGACAAGATAAAGACTAAAAACTTTAAGCATGCACATTACAATTGTTAAAAATTTTGACTTAAAGGGCCGGCAGGTGGCATAGTGGTTAAGGGTGCTGGACTCCCACATGGCCAACCATGGTTTGAGTCGTGGACCTGGCGGCTTCCTTTCTTGCTTTCTCTCTCTCACTCTCGTTCTCTCTCTCTCACAGGTGCACACATGCACATGCATGCTCACTCTGTCCCTCTCTGGCCAAATTAAAATGAATAAATAAATAAAGCTAAATAAAATCATTCTTTTTTTTTGAAAAAAAAAATCTAACTTTATTTATTTGTTTACTTGTTTTAATTTAACCAGAGAAAGACAGAGAGGGAGAGAGAGAAAGCAAACTGCCAGATCCAGGCTTGAACCATAGTTGGCCGTGTGGGAGTCTAGCACCCTTAACCACCATGCTACCTGCTGGCCCCAAATTAAATAATTCTTAAAAAAATTTTTTTTAACTTAATCTAAATCTTCTTTCAAAAATTAAAACATTCTAATCATGGCCTGAGTGTCTAGAAGCCTTCATAGGGAAGGAGTGGTTTAAGGGTTGGAATGAGTCAGTGAACTGAAGAGAAGACTGAAAGTAAACATGGGAGCCATCCTCTAGGGAACAAAGGTGGTCATGCAGAGAAGAGCAGAATTATTCTGAGTTATCCTAGAGGACTTACCTGGAACAGGTACAGTGCCATGTCCTGCACAGCTAAATGAGTGCGTGACTGAGGAGGAGGCTGTGGATTAGAGAATAAATGTAAAAGTAAACACACAAAGACTTACAAGTAAAGAAAAGTGGGGATCAGGTAGTCTGGATTTCTCTGATGGAGAAAGCCACTACTATGAATTGTACTCAGGTTTATTTTTTTAAAGGGCAGAAAATGGGGAAAGGAGAAGGGGAATGTAAAGCCAGGTGTTTTCAGATGTTAACCTGCTGAAGATGCAAAGACACCTGGTGCCCTGTAGTTCTATGTAAATTTTATCTAATTTTCTTGGGCAAATTCTGATTAACACATGTGACTTCCTTTAAACCTATACTGTTCTGCAGTTTAGGACACAGGCAGCTAGTGTATTCACATGTTAATGGTGTTCATAGCTTTGCAAATGAACTGCCCATGGAACTGCATTTCTGCATGTGTCTAAAAGTCATCATGTTTCTCAGAATGGCTGTTCTCTACAGTACAGATAAGTTATAGATAAGTTCCTTCTTGGGCAAGCTGGAACTTAAGGCAACTGGATCTTACATGGCTGACTCTGCTCTTTGAGCCCTGGACGCAATGGCTTGAAAAACATGCCTGCAATGGAAGAGAAGGGTTTCTGGCATGCTCTTCACCCCTGAGGGTGAGTTTTC